CTACCCAACCCTATGCCCTATGGCTGCCTGGTTTTCCACGCTGGAATCCTCACGTAGAAATGATACAGCGCTCTTCACTCTGAGCAGTTCACACTGAGGTCTTATTTTGCATATCTCTGGCTGTTGTGTCTTTCATGCGTCCACGGTTATTCCACGCCGCTGCTTCACAAAAGTGGTGCTTCAACACTGAGTTGCTTAACACTGAGTTTCTTCACTCTGAGTTTTTCATATTGAGCGAAAAGCCATCCGTATATGGTTCCCTAATTGAACGGCAGGAGGTATCTTCGCGCTTGATCAATCCAACCACCCCTACGTTGCTGGGCTTCCCTGGGTATGGCAGATTGCGTCTTGAATGCTGGTTGATGCATCGGATGATGTCTTTCCCTACAAAGTAAGTGACCCAGCAATTTTAAACGGAGTTGTTCCCGAACTTCAACTAACGGTTTGATTGGTCGAACATCTCCTTCCGTTGGTGCATTCATAGCTTCGTTTGCTCTCCGGTACACATATTCAGTTGCGTTCTGACCTCAAGCCTTTCAGTTGAAGTGTTTTCAGCAGACTTCCTGTTGCATCAGTGGGTTCTAGACTGTCGAGTCCGTAAAGAAGTTTGCTGACTATGACTGCATTGTAAACTAGCATAGTGCATTTAATGCTGCAATTTTCCTTAAGCCAAGAAACATCAAGTTTCTCAAAGAGTGCCATGGTTACAGATATGTGTCTTCTGAATTCATGCTTCGGATCAACTGTTTTTGTGATGGAGTCCTGGATAAGTAGTTTCCACAACGATCTTTAGTTTTTCTCTGATTTTGAACCGGAGGGCACCTCTACAATTACAGGCAATGTAGCAGCACTTGGTATAATTTGATTTCAAGCGGAGATACTCTGATTCTTCTTCAACGCACAGCCAAAATGAAATAGCTGTGGCTCAGGGGGCATCCTTGACGGATGCTGGTGCGTGGGATATGCCAAACGCTTTGTTGTGTTTTGTGCGACCTGGCAAAATGATGAACAATGGCATTCGGCGGAGTGACTTGATGGCGTCTAGGACTTCATCGGGTACGTTGAGCCGCTTGAGCGATTGAAACATTTGTTCATGGTCGATAATGCGAAAGCTTTTTCCCAATCAAGAAAGACCAAGAATAATTGCCCATGTCTGAGTGAACCTCCTCACACAAAACAAAGCTTCTGCTGTGGATTTTCCTTTCCTGATGCCGAATTTTGTTAATGGCATCTGCTGTACGTGTCTTCAGCAAAAACGCTTAGATTGCACACGACGTTTTGAAAAATGATATAGGTCTATAGTTTTCAGGACTATCGTGGTTCCCTGTGTTGTATATGGATGCAATGTGTGCTGAATATAATATAAATATATATATATATATATATGTGTGTGTGTGTGCCACATGTATACATATATATATATATATATGCATGTATACGAATATTATTTGATTAAACATTGAATCTGGTATCATATACAAAGCATATACATATATAGTATGTGTGTCTGTCTTGCGGCTTAATATGCCGAAACATACATATGTATAATATAATGTAACATAATATTATACATATATATATATATATGTATATATGTGCATGTGTGTGTGTCGGTATGTCATATATGGATGAGCATGTCGCCATGCTTTAAGAATGGGGGGCTAACTCCAAGCTGCCTCAAATGCATCTTCCAAGCTGGACTTGAGATCCACCAATATTTGGTTCTTTTCATGCTCGCGCGAGTTGTCCGCCACAACCTGCAGGTGCCCGCGCGGTTGCAACCAATACACCACACAAACGGCAAATTGAAATAGACTGCTCTTTGCGAGTAGATACACATCACGCTTCGGTTGATGGCCTGGCACAGCACGCCTATAAGCATGTTGAGCAGGGTGATCCCGGAGAACACGACGAAGACCGCGAACAGCCAGAACAGTGGAACGCTGTCCTGCCAGCATGTTGCGTGCGTGTCTGTGTGCGTGTCCTTGTATGTCCTTGCTCATAGTGCTTTTGTTTGTGTGCATGTGTACACAATCCCTGTGCAAGATCCTCTTTGATGACCAGAAAAGCAAAGGCCAGCTCATCTGCAAGCCTCAGACTCAGACAGCCCACAAGTCTGCACAGGCCAGCAGTTTGGTCCCTGGGCATCCGGCACACCATGCGTGAACCTGGTCATTGTCTGTCACAAGTATGGTTAAAATGCATCCTGTGGCAAGGAGGGTTTCATCTCGGAGGATGCTTGCAAGTTGCAGGGAAAGCATCGACGAGATCATGTCGGCAAAAAGTTGCTTCGCTTCGGCCTCCATTGTTTTCCAGTAAGACCCAGTTGATGCGCTGGCAGTGAACAAGCTGGATCTCAGCAATGCCTCGTCCAGGTCCACATTCACTGTCTTTGTGCCGGGTTTGGCGAGCCTGAAGCAAACTGCACAGCAGGCTGTGTCTGCTTCAACCGCCCAGAACATATGTTCAAGCCATAGATTCAGATGTTCAAGCCAGGTAAGTTAAACTTGAGGGGCGGGGTCAGGGGAACGAAAAGCCAGCCTGGGCTGGAGGGACAGCAAGCGACATACAGAGCCGGCGAGGCAGGGTCCAAGCATCATCACATCCACCACATCAGCAACGGAAGGCAAACAGAGCTGACGAGGCGGGCAATCAGCAACGCAGACGAAGCAAAGCTGGCGAGGCGGGCTCCAGGCATCCTCACATGCAACCAGAATCACATCAGCAACGTGTGGGAAACAGAGGTGGCATCATCACCCCCGGCACATCCAACCACATCAACAAAGCAGCAGGTGGGGGAGGGTGGGGGGAAACGGGGGGGAGGGTGGGGAGAAAGTGGGGGAGGGGGGGAGGAGGGTGGTTTGAATCGAGAAACAACTCTTTTGCGTGTGCACTGCTTTCGCAGATAGAAACACAAGCAGGCTTGCGTCCAGGTTGAAAGCCAACCCGAGCTGTCTCTGCGTGACAAGGCACTGAGATGTGAAAATGATCGCGAAGAGGTATGTCACCTGTGCAGCAACTCTCCGATCAAAGTCAGTGCACAGCTATTTCTATCTGGTACGGGCACAGCTCTCTCCTCTTTCTCGCTCAGCACGCCCCACCCATTGTGTTTTTGGGAGGATTGCTGTGGGGCTTTCAGTTGGACTGTGTGGAGCGTAATGGGGAAGCAACAAGAAACCTCTTCAAAACAGTCCCAGCACCCGTCCTTCTTCTTCTGCAGAGCTTACGGAAGAGGAAGCAGCGTGCCCCCACAATCTCTTTTGCCCTCTCCGTCGGGCGGAACTACCCGTCTAGCAAGAAGTGCAAGTGCAAGTCTGTCACGCCTAGCTGGCTCGCTGCATTCCTGCCTTCCTCCCAACACGATCTCTTGCTTGCTTGCTTGCTTGCTTGCTTGCTTGCTTGCTTGCTTGCTTGCACGACGTTTAGGGGTGTGGGGAAGCAGTCGCAACACGATCTTTTCTTCCACACAGCCGAAGGAGCACTTGCGCGTGGGCGCGAAATGGTTGTTTGGTCGAAGTGTGAAGTCTTTGGTCGATAGTCCCCCGAGCAGCAAACCATTAGTCTAATAAAACCCCCCGGCCTCGTCAGGCTCTCACCAGCACCGGTCCCCCGTTCGCTGTTTGTTTCTTACTTACAGCTCACAAGGTTCTGGGTGGTTCTCTTCAAGCACCACAAAACGCGCACACATTGCAAACAAGTGACTACATCATAACACTGTGTCAGAGCCTAACAGCCGTTGTTTCCGAGTTTCTCGGTGCTGCTGGTGATGCCTATGAAAAAGGGCTGTGAGCTGTGCTTACAAACAAGACTCCATAACTAGTGGTTGCCCCTCACAACCCACTGTGAAAAGGAGTGCGTTTTACGGCCATCCGTTCCCCCACTTGGTAGGCTGCACGATCTCTCTCTCTCTCTCTCCCTCTTGGCTTTGCTTTGCTAGGGGTTAAGACTAGCGGCAGTCCCACTAGCCCGCGCGTCAGCGCAACCCCGTCCACCCTTGTCAGGGAAATGCTCTGCTCTCTCCCTGGCTCCCTCTTCTTCCACAGGGCATAGGGGACTGTTTGGGTCCCCGGCCTATTGGCCCCCCATGTGTTGCGGGGCTTTGAAGGGACGTGATTCAATTAAATTGAAGGGACGCTGGCTCCCTCCCTCTCTCTCTCTCTCTCTACCAGGACAAAGGGAACGAGCGGACGCCCGAACCCCCGCACGCGANNCCTCGACCCTATCAGAACTTAGCAACAAGCAAAACACTGGGAGTCCCTCCGATCAGAGGCGCAACTAGGCTAGGATGAAAAGCAGGGCAGAAGGAAAAACATGCATGGTTCTCCCACAGATTTCCACAGCTTGTGTGTTGCGAATTTACGCCTTCTGGTCCCCCGAATTTGAAGAGTCTTGGCTACCTGCTGAGCTACAAGGCGAGTTGAAAAGAAACAAGGATTACGGGCGCTGTGTCCCCTTGTACGAGTGGAATGGAGAGTGGCTGACAAGCCTAGAAAGTTCACACCTATTACTCAGAGTCCCCCTCAGACTATACTCGGTCTTTTTGAAAGCTGCCGCGGTCGCTATCGAGCTCCCCGGAAACGAGGCAAAACTGCTTCAAGGAGGTATGGCACTCCCCCGTGTTGCTCACCTGTTGCTTCGCTCTTTTCTCGCACGACTTTGCGCCATGCGAGCTTGGACAAGTTGTACACCTTGCCATGTTGCATTTGGGGTTAACTGTACTCCCCCTGGAGAGCCGTCTGGGCTTCTGGAGAAACTGCGGTGTTTCGGCAGTGGGTCCCCCATGGGTTCCCGAGGCTTTTCTGCTAACACTCCAGTGCTTTCTCCGCGATCCGATGGGCGACCTGCTTCTCCCCATGGCCACGAAGGAGCACTGGTGTCTGGTTGCTGGGCCCCCTCCTCTGTACTGCTCCCCCCCCAGTCTGGAGGGGTGTCATCGAGTTTTTCCCCGTCGTCATGGCCCAGAGTGT